TAACCTACATTTTTTAGTTGTTTTAATTATTGTCACACATTTTTTCGTTTCAGGTGTTTTTTTGCAGGTGAAAATCTGGACTCAAAGCAGTGCCGTATTTCCCTATACGCCAACTACGCACAGGCGTAGGGCGGCAAAATTGGGGAGGCGGCAAATTTCAAAAAATAATCAAAAACTGCATGAGGAAAATAAGGATAAGGATTTTTTTACAGTTGGGCTGCGTTCGATAACCTGGTTGTTAATGTGTTGGTGTGTTGGCAACAATGAACTAAACAAACACACTGGAACGGTGGCTGCATAATATTTCTAACACAAGGGTTTGTGCCAGGAAGGACAACAAACAAGAGGGATTTACATCTCTCTCTCTCTGCACTATGGCAACTATTGGGAACGGCTGTTTGAAGTGTTTGGATCATTGAGGTTAGGAAGATGAATAAGCTCTTCTTTCTTTTACGTTAATCGCAATGAGTGCGAGCGCGACAACAATCCCTCTGTATTTCTGGGTTGCGTATATCAAAATTCGGCACACAAGCATAAAGCAGTGCGCCCGTTCCAGAGTGTTTGTTTAGTTCAATGGTTGGCAAGGGCAAGGACTCAAGGAGTGCACGCCCTGTCCAGCTCAGATTATCGGTGTTGCACTTCGCAGTCCTCGGCCTTGCACCATATATCAAGACAGGTATGGAACGCGATGGAATCGTCAATTTTCAAATGAGGTTTTGTTTTGTGCTTTTTATTTTACTAAATATAAGGTGGCCAAACGGCAAAACGGAGTTGGAGTGGATAAAGAGCAGTTTCATAGTCACGTGATCACAGATTGAACAGAGTAAAATGGTTAAGTCGAACGCATCAGGGGAGCAGAGCCTTCGCCCGCGAATTTCGCGGGCGTTTGCGCAATAGCCGCTTTCCAGCTAACGCTTTTGAGAACGCAATCGAGCTTTTGCGCGCGCAAATGCATCAAGCGCGTGTTCGTGTTCCAGCAGTACTGCACTTCAAGAGCTGCCAAATTTTGCGTTTCAAACATAAAGCACTGTGCTGCACCGTGCTTGAAGCACACAGCTGGAAAGCGGCTAATGATGTTTAAGCACAAAGAACGAGATTATCCCCATCACAAATCGGAACATGTGTTTTTGCGGATATTTTGGGGAGCGATGCCATTTTTTTACTAGGGGCCCCAAGAGGCAACCAAGCTCTAAACAAAAATATCTTCTTTGAAATCTTTAGGTTAGGATCGTTAGAATAATGAATTTTCGAGAACTTAAATTTGATTGCCTTTTGGAAATATAGGAAGCGCGCATGTCCGCTCCACGACCTTCATCCACTGATCTCAAAAATATATGGATAAACAAAGAACGAGGTCAAAATCTAAACAAAAACAACTGACTGGGACAGCTGTGAGCGTGCGCAGTAGATACATGTATTGTGTGTGCACAAAATCTGGCCAATGAAAATGAAGGAATTTCAAAATTTAGAACAGTTGTTCGAAAGATAAGACACTGCGCAGGCGTTAGGCTGTTCCGTTGCACAACTGTTCGTAGAATATTGACCCCAAATTTTCGCACAAATTTTGCCAATCAAGCCGTATGAATTGTTTATCCATTTATTTTTTAGATCAGTGCCTTCATCACGCGAGGTGGTGCTTGTGATTCGATCCTACAATTTGGAAGCAGTTTTCTCCAACGTTGAAATCGCCTTACGTATATTTGTTGCTATGGCGGTCACAGTTTGTCATTTTCAACCCTCAAACGCTTGAAAAAACCTATTTAAGATCTTCCATGGAACAAGACCGATTATGCATTGACAATTTTGACGATAGAATCTGATTTGACAACAAGCTTAGATTTTGATGGTATAGACTAAATCACGATAGAAAGTGAAGTTGACAGTTCACGTTGACATTTTTAGTAAACTTTTTCTTTAGGTTGTCAGCATGCGTTAGCGCTTCGATTCCGTCAGCTGGGATAAACGACAGGGTCGTATTTAGGAAAGTGATATACATTTCAGAATAAAAATTTATTTTCAATTTCTTTAAAGGAAGTTAAATTATTAAAATCCAAAAATCCTAAAATTAGAGTCCAAAGTAAACACTTATAATAAGAGTAAACACTTAAATCCAAACTAAAACCAGGTTTGAAACGCAACACCGAAACACAAAGGCACAGAACACTACCTAAAAAACCAAAAAACCGATTGCGATAATAACAAATAAAAAATAATGCAGTAAACGGCAAAAAACTGAAAGATTTCACACAAAAATTCGAAATTCAAAATTCAAAGATCCGAATCTGTGATTTTTATGTGTCAAATCAAAATGTCATGTACCTATCATTAGTTGATAGTTGTCAGAAAAAGGGACAGATCTGGGGATTTTATTTATTTTCAACTGGTGAAAATAACGGTCAAAATTCAAACTCTCTCGTGAATACGACTATATTATAAACTCGTTTGCTGCTATGAAAACCCGGCGAAAGTCTATGTAATATAATATGTATATAGCGTTATAGCTGTGAAACTAAATTCAAAATTTGAAATTCTGGTTTCTGGTTTTACTGTTACTTTTACCATTTTACCTAGCCAACATAAGGGCGGCCTTTTTTACCAGGCGTAGAGCGGAATATTGGTAAATCCGGCACTGACTCAAAGCCATATAGGCATGATGGATAATATGGATCCTACTAATTTTGCTTGCGTCCGTGAAAATAACATTTTTTTTCAACCAAAGAAGCGGTTCCAAATGATCTTAGATCACTTATAAATCTTTTTTGCAATTAGAAAAATTGCAACAGTAAAAAGTTTGCCAGCAAAAACGACGGAATGTTTTGCACCCCCGAGTGTAAATGTGACATGAACTGCCAAAATGTAGCTAAAGAATTATTAGATAACCTGGACAATGATCCGTTTGGAGATTAGGTTAATTCGAGGTGAATATATATATTTTTATTTTTTTTGACTTTCATGTAACTTGTTTCAGATGAGAGGATTATGAGATACTGGGACCCTGGAAAAAGGTTTTGTTTTTTGCAAGTTTTTGTTGACTTTGTTGTTAGTACATTTATCCAAAATTATGAATAGGATACAATAAATAATAATATTATTATGCATTATTGAAACCTAATTGTTATTTATCCAACACGTGCAGTAAGAATTTTGCGCATTAGTGCGGCAAGTAGTCATTTTCCTTACGGAAATTAGCTTTTCGCACTACTGCGACAATTTACAATTTTTTGCACCGCTCGTGGAAAATAGATATTTTCCTAATAAGTGCGGAACAATTAGATTAAACAATGTTTCTTACAAGTGTGTGGAAAATCTTTCTTTCCGCACGTCAAGGCGTGCGAAAAATGGACATTTCCCGTACGTTCGTAGGAAAAATATAAATGGTACGATTTTTGAACCTCATTTTTCCGTTTTTGTGACGTAACATTTGTCTCGGCCAAAACTAAAAGTCTCCGTATATAAATTTCTTTTTTATTATGACCTAATTTATAAGATGGTGTGGGTTTCAATAAGTTATACCAAAAAATAAAGTTATTCAAGAAAAAAATCAGTATTTTTTTTTTTTTGGAAAATAAAGAAATTTGGAAATTCGCTCGGTTATAGATCTGTTGGATGCTGTGTTCAACCGCCGCCGTCTTCGCCTCTGCCGACAATTACTTGTATGACTTCGTATAGAAAGGCGTAACGGACCAAACTATAAGTGGATATTTATTATTTTATTTTTATGTCGCCATAAATAAAGTTTGCCTTGATCTAAAACGTGGAATATTATATCACGTATCATTTCATGAAGGTAGTAAGAATCTGGGACGAAAGACAAGATCATAAGGTCACAGATTGATACATATTGCAAATTTTACTTTTTTTAGTAAATAATAAAGTAAGTAGGTACCTGATGAGCTAGTGAAACCTTTATAAAATGTATTAAGATTCTCACAAAAATTTTCCAAAAAATATTGAAAATAGGTAACGTAATATAACTCAGTTTGTTCTGCTGTACAAACTATAAACTAAAAAAATGATCCTTTTGGATGGGATCTAGAAAATAATTTTAGTTTGCATAATGCATACCTATATATGTATATTTATAGGAATGCATAAGATTCCTTATACCCACAATATGCTTCTATACATATACTAGACTTGTTATGCATAGTCTGTTTCTTTTTATCATTGGTGTTATTATTTTGATTAGGTACCGAGAAACCATTTTGTTTTGGAAAAAAAATTGTGCTACGATAACAATGAAATCATTCTTCCAAGAATAGGTTAAAGATCTTGCTTTGGTCACTGCAAATTAAACATTTAAGAAATAAGGTTCAAAAAATAACATGATAAAATATTTTTGAAAACAATTTTAATTGTCGATAACACCATTTGGTCGTTAATTTTAATGCTAATTCAGTGAATACATAAATACCGAGACAAGTGCTTTCTTGTTTGAAAGCAGATATTAGGAATATAATACCTATAATGTAGATCCCATTTTTTGAGATTCAAAAAATTACTGCATTCAATTTTTTTCATATTATAAAAAAAAATTAGGAAATTAATATTAGATACTCGCTAACAAAGTAGGAACAGTTGATAAATCCACAAACTTGATATAGGTGCACCTACTATAAAGTAGAAACTAGAATACAAATACTAAAACCAACAGATTAACCCCAATCATGAGTTAGGTAATCGATACGTTAGTGGTTAAACCGAAAAATTTTAAAAAAAGTAGGTAGAAATTGATTACATTCTGTAATAGCCCCTCTTGTATGCTAACCCAAGTTACCCAACTATTTATATAATGTAATATTCTTTTGCATTATAAGTTATTTAATTTAGATGAATCGGCTGTAAAGTATAAGATATTATTTGAGTATTCTTCCTGTTTCTTTTGATAATTCAATAAATAACAAAAATAAACCTGTTCAATATAATCACGTGTAGGTTTGAACATTCAAGTTATATTACTTACTGAAACAAAAATTACATAAATTGTATTTAAATCTTACCTTCTCTCATATGGGATTTGGTTTCATAATTACAAACCACGATTTTGCCATTGGGGGTGTGCGGTGCCGGTGACACACCACAAAAAGTACTCGAAACCAAGGTAACAAGTACCAATGAAACTTGGACAAGTACCATTTCGATTCGAATTCAGAATTACTAATGAATTTCGTTATTCTGAAAAATGTTTGTTCGACAATAATTTTTATCGCTTAATCAACGTAGCGGGCCACCTCTGCGACGGTCAAGCGCATAAAGGTGCCCGTACACGTCAAGACTTTTTTCTCCAAACGTCAAAAAAACGCCACTTTGTTAACCTCTGTCAAGATGTCAGAAATTTAATTTCTATGCTGGTAGGCAAATCCAGCAAGTTAACACCTGTCGAGGTGGTAGAAATTTAATTTCTACGCTGCTTGGCAACCCCAGCGGCAGCTAAAGTACTTTTAGTGCCGCTCGTACTTTTACTGCCGCTTAACGATTCAGTTACCCCCGAGCTTACCCCATTCGTTTGGAGAAAAAATAGTGTGTTGCATACGGAGTAGAAGCACTTTTTTGTGCTTCAGCAGTATTGCAAGCCTCACTACGTTCGGCTCGCAAACCTACTGCTTCAGCACAAAAAAGTAAAGCTTCTACTCCTAATACAACAATATACTATTTTGAACAAACAATAAGTACTTAGTCAAAAAATGACAACTTAGGAATTTTTTTCACCATTTCGATTTACCTAGGCGATAAAATTTGCTGGTTTTGTGCATGTCCAATTTTACAATAAAAGCATTGTAATGATTTACTGAATTACCTTTAGAAATTAGGCTTTAATAAACAAGAATTATACACGATATTCACAAAGATGAAAAACCACAGATGAAAAACTAATGACAATGAAAAATACAATAATATGATAATAATTAATACCTACTGGTAACAAAAACTATATACAGAAGATATCAAAAGTACCACATTCTCCCCAGGTTTGTTTTTCAACATAATCATCAAGATATTTGGGAGATTGTGTAGTTCTTGATCCACGACGGATCTGGTTTTCTAGTTGTGGCTTCTCGATTGAGACTGATTTATTGTCTCACTAACATTTTCTTTTTCTATGTCTCGCATTTGTTCTGTAGGAATAGGTTCCTGTAAAAAATGTACACTTTCTTCTGATTAAGAAGGCATATTTATAACATGGTTATCAGCATTATTTTTCGATGGCAGTAGACTTTCATCACTACATGAAGCTAAATGTTTTAGCGAAACCGTTGCTTCTCGTCTATTCGAAAGTCGAACTAACGCATATTGAGGGTTAGCTTCATAGTTAGCTTCAATGAGATCTCCTTCTTCAACAAGAGAATCGTACTTTGAATGTCTGATACGCTTTTTCATATAAATTTTCCCAGAAGTTAGCCATGCAGGTATTGCTGTACCATTCATTGATTTTCTTGAATGACAGAACATTCTTTCATGTGGAGTGTAACATTCCAAATGTCACTTGTTTTTTTTTATATAAATAATTTTTACATTTTATAATTTTATATAAATAAAGAAAAATGAAGGGCCCTTTTTCTAATCTTGCTGTTGCCCCAAAAAGGTCAAAAAGTGTGACTGGGCAGGGTCATTCGGAGAGCCGTTTTTCTCAACAAGTACATTCGAACAAGGCCACATTTTCAATAGAACATCATTTCCATGGAGTGTAGCATAGAGCTTTTGAAGGAATTCCTACCATAGACAATAAAATATAAAAAGACCTTCAAAAGTATAATAATAGCCCTAATAGGTTATACTATAGGCTTTTTACGTTATATTTATGATGACGTCACATTTAGTAAATTTCTGCTGCCAACCGAACAAAACTAAAAGTACTTTTCAACGCATTCAAAGTAGGGCAATTTCAGATGTTTTTGGTTGGCAACGGCGCGCGACGCTGCATGATTTATATAAACATTTTCAAATAATGCGTGTCGATTCATTTCGTTATTTTTAGCTGTCAGTCGTCTTGATAATGTATTATTAACTATTTTGTATAATCCTAATTAAGTGCCAAAAATACGTTACAGTTAGGAAAAAGTTCTTTCAAGAATAGACCTATCTCCTATTACCTGGACTGCGCGCGTCGCTTGTAGGCTGCAGGTGAGCGTCCAATGAGAAGCAAGTTTGTGACAGGCTTGCATCATATTCTTATTCAGGGGCCAGTTCAGAATGAATTGTTCCTTCTTTCTTTGTAACGTGTAATTTGACAAAGAGCAAACTAATTCTTTACATATGACTTGAACTCACCGCAGTTTCGTTTGAGATTATACTTGACATATTCCTTTGCAATTTCATTGAGCGATGTTGCCGGAGGAAACATTTATCAAAATAAAAGTGCAAACGATGTTCATCCACTTTAAAACTCTTCTTTTGTCTGATATAAGGCATTGTAAAACACTTGACACTATATCACTTCTTTTATGTTATAATATTCGATTTGTATTGTCTACATTTATTCTGCAACAATACAATCTGGCTACACTGCAGCCTACGAGTTGCGCGCGCATGTCATCTTTGATTGCTTTCTAACTTGTATTTATTACAATTAAGCTCTCTTTTTCTAATCATGCGAGATAGGTCTATTCAGTACTTTTTCGTAGCGTAAACTTACTCAGAAAATGCCCGCAGGTTTGTCGGAGTCGGCCTCAGGAAAGGGTAGAATACTTAATAACGTATTTCCAGCAGGAACGCGACCATTTTTGCTTCTTACTGCTGTGAGGCATGTAAATAAATTACCTATTTTCCGTTTCGTTTGACAGAAAAGACCTATCTATTTTTACACGCTGGACATCTCCTTGTCCTTGTTCATTGTTCGTGGTCTGATAAAAAAAAAAGTACTGTTGATATTCAACTTGACGTTACTTGACAAGTGACACTCAAAAGTAGTTTGAAATGTTCATTGATAAATACGTTGCACAACACGCGGTTTTTCTTCTTCTCTTTTTATCCCGTGCAAATAAGGAGGACGGATTGCCATACATAAGTTTAACAAAATTTGGTACATTTTGCCTCGTCTTGCGCAATGAGCGTTCTGTGTTTTTTTTTTATCTAATGAAGTTTTCGTATTATTACCTCTTTGTTTGGTAAGTGATTATTTTTTATTTTTATTTTTTATCCCTTTGCGGTCAAAATTATTATATTGTTTCTCTTTGTAAGTATAAATAATTATAGCCTGGTTTTTGATTGTTCTCATAGTGTAAAGCTACAATTAATTATCTTGCTGTTTTTATTTTATTATTATTATTATTATTATTTTTTCGGTTTTGAGAGAAATATTGAGGATGATTATATTTGTTGGATCTAAAGGGAATTAAAGTAAAAGTATTGTGAATATTTTTCTAATTTATTGTGAAATTCTAATATGAAAAACCTGAAGTTGGGCCATCTTAACGTTCGTTCCCTTGCGACTGGTTTCGACCATTTTCAGAATTTACTGCATAGTTCTAGTGTAGATGTTATGTGTGTTTCCGAAACTTGGTTAACGGAAAATGTTTCTTTTGACCAGTTTCTTATTCCTGATTTTAATTTTGTATGTAAAAATCGCACAGGTAGAGGGGGTGGTGTCGGTGTTTTCATTCGTAATTCTTTTGATTACATTACAGAACAGTTTGAACCGATTGACGGCCTTGAACACCTATTTCTTAACTTAAAAATAAAGAACGAGAGTATTCTTTTGGGGGTTGTGTATAAGCCACCTAAAACCAACCTGGCAAGCTGTATAAAACACTTTGACGATTTGCTTTCTTATTTCTGTCCTCGGTTTGATAAAATTTTAATTTTAGGAGATGTGAACATATGTCATTTACAGAATAATTTGCTTCTTGAATGTTTTACCAGCTATGATTTTACCCAGTTGGTGACCGAGTCAACACGTATTTCTGGTACAAGTGAGAAAATTATTGATGTTATCTATTTTAATCAACCTTCTACTGTCACAAATTGCTCTGTCCTAAATGCAGACCTAATATCGGACCACAAAGCAACTTTTTGTGAAATAAATATTGGCATTTCCAAGCCTCTACCAAGAACAGTTATTTATAGAAACTTTAAGCAATTAATTATGGAGGACCTTGAGTTCGACATAAGATCTATTAATTGGGATTGTGTTTACTACATAAATAATATAGAGCAAAAACTGCAATTCTTAAACCAAAACATTTTGAATTTATTTCATAAGCATGCACCTTTCAAGCATGCTAAAATTTCAAAACAGTTTGCACCTTGGATTACACCTAATATTAAATTACTAATGAAAGAACGGGATAAGGCCTTAAGCAAATTTAAGAAAACTAAAGACATTGGTCATTGGTCGTTTTACAAACAAATGCGTAACACCGTGGTGGATGCTATTCGTAGAGAGAAAAAGGCTTATTTAGAATTTAACCAACGTGGCAAGGATAATAAACAACTTTGGAAAGCCATAAATAACTTAAATTTAAAAAATAAAACTAACTGTACTATTCCTCCAAAATTAGAAGAACCAAATTCAATAAATGACTATTTTTCATCAGTGTATAGCCCATTACATAACCAACCGGAAACTGTAAGTTTCTATAAAGGAACAAAATTTCGAGAAAACCTGAATTTTTCTTTTAGATTAGCAACCACGGGAGAAATTTTCAAAATAATTTGTCAGCTCAAATCAAACGCTTATGGTTGTGATGGTATCTCTGCCCAAATGATCCAGTATTGTGCAAATTTTATTTTAAATCATATAACTCACATCTTAAACTGTTGCTTAGAGATTGGTTACTTTCCAGAAATTTGGAAATGTTCCTTAATAAAACCTCTACCCAAAGTAGTAAAACCTGAAAAATACTCCGATCTTAGGCCCATTTCAATCATCCCTGCTTTATCGAAAATCTTGGAAAAATTTTTGCAGCCACAAATTTATGAGCATCTTACAAAAAATGAAATAATCCCTCATTTGCAATCGGGGTTTCGTAAGGATCATAGCACTACTTCGGTCTTGGCGAATATTACTGACGAAATTATATCCTCACTGGACAGGGGTGACGTCACATCTTTGGTGTTGTTGGACTTTTCGAAGGCCTTCGATACCTTGGATCATGATGTCTTGTGTGCCAAACTTCAGTATTTCGGATGCGATGAAACTACGTTGTCTTTTTTTCAGTCTTATCTTGGTGGAAGAAAGCAAAGGGTTGTTTTGGAAAGCAGGGATCCGTCAGATTTTTGTGAGATAACC